GTACTGTACACTAGGGGTTGTGTACTGTACACTATGGGTTGTGTACTGTACACCAGGGGTTGTGTACTGTACACTAGGGGTGTGACAACACTGAAACAGCCGGCACACAAAGTTGACTCCAAGGTTTTTTACACCCGGTCACAGGTGGGCTCGTTCCCGACACGTCAAGCTGGCTGGATCAGAAGCCTGGCGCCTTAGACGGCTCGCCCATCATGCCCCACACTGACGGAACACTGACGAGGGCGATGAACGCTCTGCCGGTCCGCTTGTTGAATTAAAGAACAGGTTGTCCTTGACGGTGGAGCCGTGGTTTTGCGTGACTATTCGCTGAATCAGTTTTGGTATGTTTCAGAAGCCACACATTCCTGCACAGCAGAGATACTCGCCGTGTTTTGGGGGTCTGCTGCAGTGTTCCTCCTACTTGCAGGAGCTGCGGTTATCATGTACAGGTAAGTTGGACCAATGTACAGTACCACTGTATGAAGATTCAATTCACATTCTAATCTTAGTCATTTGTAGTCACGTTCCTTCCCATGGATTATAACGTACTGAATATATGTTTACAGGTATGTGTGTATCTTATACTAACCATGAACATTATTGTTCTAACAGAAATGGAATGTTTTCTTCCGCTGGGAAAAAGAAGAAAAGGGGATTAGATACACTGTTCGTACTCGAAGACACGCCAGCTCCTATACAACCTCCGGCCCGTCAGGAGTGGAGGTTAAGCACCTATGCTGACGTCATGAGTACTGACACCGCCAGTCACTACCGTCGTATCAGCAGAAGTATGGGCAGTATCAACTTCAGACGGTTTAACGGCACCATGAAGGGTTCAACCTTGTACAATACTACAAGAAGCAAAATGAACACACAAGCCGCTGTGGACATTACTATTTCAGTGGCGCCCCCAGACTTTAAAATATATAAACAGTCATCATATTGGTTAGGTACGGAGACGGATTTTGATGACGTGTACGAATGTTTGCCAAAGAAAAGGGCAACACCTAGCAGATACCATGGAGGTCTGCGGCAAGATATTGTTCCGGAACCAGACGAAGAGGATGCACCCTCAGAGGAACCACAAGGAGCCACTGGGATTCAACCTCAAAGGGAGACAAGGCATGTGCCGAGCAAATTTCTTTACATCTCCCCTGTGTTTAACGCTGGAAATGAACAATCAAACATATGAGAACACTCTGATGAATATAATTCCTTAATTGAGGACATAAGAACAGTGTATGGAACTGTCTGTAGTCACTGTGTATAAATGTCTTCATTTGTCAGCGTGATATTTATTGTGCATATGCTCTCTTAATTTGTTGTTTAATGCCGCACTCAGCAGTATTCAAGCTCTGTGATAGTGAGCTGTAAATAATCTTGTCTAGATTATACAAGCCAGTGATTGATATGATAGGCTTCGATTCATGTAACCAAGACATGCATGAGGCGTGTCTGATCACCCGAACCCGATCTGAATGGGAAACGAATGTCATTTCGAGTGGCTATTTACTATTTACCAATTCAAACCTATGAGGGTATGTTGAATTATATGTTGGCAACCTGTCTGCCCTCGTGGGTGGATGTAGGCATACAAAATGTCAATATACCTCATGTATGTTCAGATCCATATTGACCCGTGAAGATCCGGGATAGAACAGGTCTTCAGCAACCCATGTGCTTGCCATAAAAGGCGACTATGCTTGTCGTAAGAGGCGACTAACGGGATCGGGTGGTCAGGCACGCTGACTTGGTTGACACATGTCATCGGTTCCCAATTGCGCAGATCGATGCTCATGCTGTTGATCACTGGATTGTCTGGTCCAGACTCGATTATTTACAGACGGCCGCCATATAGCTGGGATATTGCGGAGTGCGGCGTAAAACTAAAACTCACTCACTCACTCACTCAGATCCATATTAATATGATCGTGTAATTAGAATAATCATGTAATAATATACTTTAATATATATTGTTGGATGTACGTCGGTAGGAATCAGACTATGTTTGGCATGATTTCACATTTCTTTAGATATCAACATAACCCCCTTTCTGTTGTAGAGAGGCTACACTGTTTCACATTAAACCTAATTCCAATGTCAATATTCCATGGATGGTTAACGTCTTTTGCTCATCACTGTATATGTTGCTGATACGATAAGAGTATTTTTATGAACAAGATGAACAAATGGGTGCGTTGAATGAGTCCAACCATTTCAATAACTGCATTTACACCTCTGTTCATGCGGACATATGTTCAACACATATTACGTTTCCATTATGTCATAATCATAACAAAACTATAATTATTATACAATACTATTAGCCTATGGTAGCTAACATGTACACGTCTTAGTCTCTTCCATTAAAGTTTCAGTACCTACTATGACTTACGTGTTCGTCAGTGCCACGTTTAATTTCGACTTCATGAACGCACCAGTTAACAAGATACCTACCAACTGAGTGAGAATCAGCAATACGTGAGTTAAGACCAATCCTCACACTAGTTTACTTGTGAGACCTGCACAGACCTCCGCTGCCTGGGATTCACCTACCACACAAAGCTATGTATACAGCATGTGATCTAACGGCATACTGAAACTGGCCTGACTTTACACTGGCATGTACCATTTAAAATTACAAAAGGAAGCTACGTGTATGGCAGGTTCAGGATTTACTTCGCGTGACCAACGAACCGCTAAAATGATTCTCCCACATCATTTGTTGTACATCTGTTTTCTCTCTCTCTCTCTCTCTCTCTCTCTCTCTCTCTCTCTCTCTCTCTCTCTCTCTCTCTCTCTCTCTCTCTCTCTCTCTCTCTCTCTCTCTCTCTCTCTCTCCTCTCTCTCTCTCCCTCCCTCCCTCCTCCCTCCCTCCCCCTCCTCCCCCTCTCTCTCTCCCTCTCTCCCTCTCTCTCTCTCTCTCTCTCTCTCCCTCCCTCCTCCCTCCCTCCCTCCCTCCTCCCTCTCTCTCTCTCTCTCTCTCTCTCTCTCTCTCTCTCTCTCTCTTACCTTTCTTTATGGCACGCTAGTTTCAACATACCACAGTACTATGGACATGGGTAAATATATCCTCAAAAGCAGGCAGAAGGTTTCAAATGAAAACGAATGTAACGAAACCAATTGTTGAATACTAATCCTCTCAGATACACACATCCTATTTACGTTCCCGGATAATGATTTATTTGTTATACAGGCACCCGGATGTTTTGAGAAAATACATAATTCAATTTGTTCACTTGTTGTTAGGTTCTCGTTCATAACTCCGATGTACAGTGTATGTCTGTAAGTCTACGGTTCCTTGTACACATGTGTTCTGTAGTTTAACAACAAAAACAAAGATTAATGCCATGTATATGATGTTCCAACAATGAGCTCAGTATCACATTCCCTTCAACAGCCGGTACTCCATATCAATCACTTAACATACGGGATAACGGGGTATTGCTCATAACCAGAGCGTGCATGTCAGCCGGTACTCCGTCTCAGTGACTTAACATACGGGATAACGGGGTATTGTTCATAACCAGAGCGTGCATGTCAGCCGGTACTCCGTCTCAGTGACTTAACATACGGGATAACGGGGTATTGTTCATAACCAGAGCGTGCATGTCAGCCGGTACTCCGTCTCAGTGACTTAATATACGGGATAAGGGGTATTGCTCATAACCAGAGCGTGCATGTCAGCCGGTACTCAGTGACTTAACAGCGGGATAACGGGGTATCGTTCATAACCAGAGCGTGCATGTCAGCCGGTACTCCGTCTCAGTGACTTAACATACGGGATAACGGGGTATTGCTCATAACCAGAGCGTGCATGTCAGCCGGTACTCCGTCTCAGTGACTTAACATACGGGATAACGGGGTATCGTTCATAACCAGAGCGTGCATGTCAGCCGGTACTCCATCTCAGTGACTTAACATACGGGATAACGGGGTATTGTTCATAACCAGAGTGTGCTAGTATCATCCCCAGCCTTTTTCCTTTATCTATTCAGTTTTATCTGTTCATGATATCAATAAAATTTTAATATTGGATATATGTAATGCACTGAATCAAACGCTGATGCAGGCTACATTATCATCATCCCCGAGATCAATGGATTTGTATGCACTAGAACTTCACCCTCAGCTTTCTGTGAAACTGCCTCATGAGGCGCTTGAACGTTTACATCCACATTACCATCTCATCCTACCGGGTACCCATTCAAAGCTGTGGCCACATGGGCACATGTCGAACAAAACTATTTGCCTAACATGTGTTTCAGCATGAGGCAAGTCCGAATCATCACAGACACACCGACGCCCACCACCCCATATTAAGCGCTAGTCGCTATATGGCTGAAATAATGCCGATGCGACAGAAACATATAACTCACTCACCAATATAAGTGAACAGCACTGCCAGGACCAGGCTCCACATCCCAAGTGCCAAACAAGTGATATAAAACAATGGGTAACCAGGAAGTATTTTTATGTGCAATAGCCGCCAGGTAACAGTGTCCTATGACATTCAATATAGTCCATGTTGTCCAACAGTCAGTACGTCTGGAACATTGCCAGTATGTCACCAGCTCAGTTCACTCCTCAAGATAACATACGATTGTACCTTGTTCTTATACTTTATTAACGCTGGTAGATCAGGTACGCCGGTGTGCTGCAAATAAACTGCACAAAACACAAACATAGGTCGTCCCTGACAAACTATGCAGATCAGGAACATGCACAGATAAGTAAGTTTCGTCTTCACCGAGAACGGTGGAACACTTCTCATACAGGCGCCATGATACGAAAGCACACAATAACGATCACTAGACGGAGCAGGACAGTGCACATTAGTGACAACTGCTACAAAGGACTGCTGAGACACGGTGGTAGATATGTACACCTACCCACACAGATACTGATCTAATTTTAAACATGATCACATCTACCTACATTACACCACTAGCAATGGCCGACGCGAGACCTGCACGATAGACAACATCTTGTGTGTAAGTTTACAGTATACTAATGGACAACTTGCTAAGTATCAAACACATTAAGAACGGTATTTACTGTATCAGTACGATGGTTTTACCTCCTCATAATTACCATCATCATCATTAAACAGTGGCTTCACTTCTATGGAGCCGGCATTTTCTGCTCCCGGGAAACCTGGAGATGTTATGTGAGTACCATGTGGACTATCGGAAAATAAGTAAATGCACGTGTGTATATTGAACGGGTAATATTTTGATATAATTTGTATTCTATATTATTTGTTTCTTTTTCAGATGTCATGATGGGGTCATGGTGGGTGCACATACTTATTCTGGTGAGCAAAATATTATTTGGTTGTTCTTGTCATTTGTAGTTTATCTTAAGATATACATGTAGATATACGTGGGAGTTTGTTTTTGTTGCTTAACGCCGAACATAGCAATAAATCAGCAATATGATGTCTGTCAGTGAATAATCGATCCGACAATCCAGTGATTAACATTAAGAGCATCGTTTAACGCAACGGGAATACGATGACATATATCAGTATATATGGACTATGACTGCATCCCATTGTTGTACAGTTGTTGAAGACCAGTTGTAACCCGGATCTTCATGGGGGTGTTGGAGGTCAGATGGCGTATTTGTTTGTCTTCCTATCTGTCGCCATGTTTTACTCCGATAGTTATCACATCATGGCTTTATTTCTTCAGATTAAACAATCGTATATGTGATTTTTTCAGAGCACCGGACTGATATTCGGAACTATTTCACAAACAAGTGAGTGTAACGTCATTTACAATCTCATGTGCTGTCTTCACTATCATTCACAATGAAGCCTTCATAAACGTTGTTGAGCAATGAACATTTATATGTTGTTTCATTAAAAGTAAGTGGTATCTGCACATGTGTTATTACAGGTGGTTCCTGCAACGAGAGATGTTCCTACTGTCTTGGAACAAAGTGTCGGGAATGTCTCTACGGCTGGTATGGACGAGACTGTAATGACAAATGCAGTGAGTATTGCTGGCATGGTGGATGTGAGAGGATAACAGGACGTTGTTATCAGTGTGTTCCTGGAAGACACTCAGGTGACTGTACCCAACTCTGCTCTCATCACTGCAGTGAGAATAGCAACGGACAGGTCAACTGTGACATAACGACTGGAAACTGTTTGGAGGATTGCGTGGAAGGAAGGTGGGGTCCACGATGCCAGTATAGATGTCCAGACAACTGCAAAGAAGACCTTTGCTACAAAGAGGATGGAGGGTGTCTGAGAGGCTGCGTTGATGGATTTCATGGTTCCATGTGTAAAGATCAGTGCTCCGAAGGTTGTTTGAACTCCACATGCCAATGGTTCACTGGCAAATGTACACATGGATGTAAGAACGGTTACCTTGGCTCCACGTGTTTGTACCCAATGGCCAGACACTGCCTCAACCAGGCTTACTATGCCGAACACCATACCGTGGCGTGTACTGATGGGTGTGACGATGGTTACACTTCAGAAACATGTAACGAAACATGTAACACTGGGTGTCTTAAATGTCACCAGTATTCAAAGACATGTTTGTCATGTATCTCCGGATTGTATGGCGACAAATGCCAAATCGAATGCAGTATGACATGCAATGAGTTGAACTGTGACATGTCAGGTGGATGTGACAAAGGGTGTACCCCGGGTTTCCGCGGTGTATATTGTAATGACACCTGTCCATACAACTGTTTGTCATGTAGTCAGCATACCGAGACGTGTACAGATTGTAAGGTGGGATATACTGGCCCTGAGTGTACGGAGGTGGACACATACAACGCGCTGGACGTCACAGGTAATGTTGCTACATGTATATACTGAAACATAAACTGGTAATAAACCACAGGAATGAGGCCGACATAAATGTGACTAATAGCAATATTTTTTTAACCCAAAAAGCCAGATATGCATTAATATTGTTGATGTATTCGGAGAGTATGGTGGGTTCACAGCATGAATTACCTGACAGTGTGTAATTTCGTCCAGATTAACGCATATCCATAGCATAAACTAATCGTTGTTTTAGAGTAACACCATTTGCAAACACCTCTAACCTGCGTCCGGTTTAATGAGGTTTAACTTTTTCATGCCCTTTCGTAACATGCCTTTTTCAGTATTACTAAGCAATACATTAAATGTCATGAATAGTCACATGTTCTTGATAGTACTCACACCATGTGAAAATCGCACATTGCTCTCCACAACAGTTGAAATGTATGTTCACGTTCAGTCAGTGCCTGTTGCTTTTTCAGACACAGTGTCACACAACGAGGCCTGCATCTTGCTAACACTAATAATGTGTACCGTAGCGCTCATCAGACATCCCGGTATATAATGGAACCTTGAACCACCATCTTAGAGGTTACTATCAGCCATGTCGATGTGGACAGAGCGATTCCTTTTTGGACTTTTCATCTTCAGGGAGTAGGTTTCTGTAGTTTCTAAGTCAAAAACTAATTGTATATACTTCTGTAGAAAATATAAACCGCAAATGAGGATCTGTATTAAAACAAATCTTCACTAATTCCACTTCTTGGAATACGTACTAAACCTTTTCTTTCTGCTGCCGGCATTGAGCTGGAAAATATAGCTCCTTCCCGTCTTCCTTCTTCTCCTCCTTGGCAATTGGTTAGGCCACACGTTGACCTAACGTTAACCACATTTAATAAATGAGAAATTAATTAATTACAATATAAACAAGAATTTAATCAATTAAAAACATAAATATAATACATACAAATCCGTATTTACAGATGGGTCCAAGGATGGTGGCGCGGTTGCTTGTGCCACTGTCATTGGATCCAGAACAATATCTTCTCGATTGCCTGATAATAGTTCTATTTATTAACAGCCTTAAAATATATTAATATACACCTTAAAGTTAAACAATACATCATATTTTCAGACTCTCATTTTTGCCTTTAGGCTCTTAAAAATCTTTCTTTCAAACATCCACTTTTAACTGAAATTATTGAATTATGCCATGATCTTGCTACTGGCCAATAATACATCGTCTTCTGTTGGTTACCCAGCCACGTTGGCATTTCTGGGAACATAATGGCTGATCCTGCTGCCAAGGCAGCACTCATCAAATCTGTGACATCACTTCTCATTCCATACTCTGATTACAAAGCTAGCATTAGAACCTTACATCCTTGATCTGATGCAGAAGAAGTGGGACACCCAGGTAGGTATCAATAAATTACATGCAATAAAACCCTATATCGGTTACACCTACTTGGGTTGTCAGTCCAGATTTGAAGAGGTCATCATGTGATGATGTCGCATTGGCCATACTAGATATACTCACGAATATTTATTGAAAGGCGAAGATCATCCGTTTTGTATCCCTTGTGATGAGAGGATCACGGTCAAGCATGTCTTGCTTGACTGCATTGACTATTCCATCACAAGGGATACTATTTAAAATCACGAACTATGAAGGATCTGTTTAATAATATAAGTTCTCATTTGATTATTGCATTTTTAAAAGAATTAGATTTGTTGAATGATTTGTAAATAGATAAATATGTTTGGAAGTTTATATTAGTAACTTCGATTGTGAGTGGCTGTATCCTCAAAGGGCGTTAAAGTACTGTAAAATTATTGTCCTCCTGAGAGGATACGTAAGTCCCAAAACATTCAAAGTAAATTAAAACTTTCCACGTTTTTAATCGTAGAATACGTGTCTTTTTAATGTAATGATGTCCTAAATTGCTAACGGCTGAAGGGATGGTGTAAATCCAACTAGGGTCCATGCAGGAAACAAATGTACTGTAAGTCCCCATGGTCCCTAGTATGGTGATCTACCTTCAGTTGTTGGCAATATATAGCCTGTTTTTATATTGTATTGTCATCTATAGTTAAACTGTTTTAGATCTTATTGCTAGTTTTAAGTTCGAACATGTGATAATCTAGTTATTTTACTGTCATTCGGTGACATGTTTTTACAATTTATCATTAATTACTATGTATAAAATTAATTGTTCTCGTCATGATATGGCTGAAATATTGCCGATGTGACGATAAATTTTAACTCACTCACTCACTAACTCTAAGATACTGTGGTGAGCCAGATAAAGGTATCTGTGTAGTTGGTTCTTTATCATGATTGTTGCAGTGTTTAACTTACATTGTCGTTGTGCGATTTTAAAATGTGTATTTATGAGATTCTGCTCATGGACAGCTTCCTATTGCATACTGTGATATACTCTAGTTTACAGCTGCAACTCGTTTAACTGCGTTATCCTCTGTAGAATACAGCTGTCCGACACATTTACTATGATGTACTGAGTACAGTACAGCTGCCATACAATGTACTGTGGTATATTCTAGTTTACAGCTGCCACACAATGCTGTCCGACATATTTACTGTGATGTACTACAACTGCCTCACAATGAATGATACTCTGCTGAATGACCACTTGATGGATGAAATGATCTTATAATTGTCAGGGACAATATGCTGGACCTGGATACATTATAACATTCTGTCATAGCAACGGATTCAGGACAACTGTTGTACAAATAATTCCAAAGACCAAAAACCATGTATGACTTAATTGCAACTACTTATATGACGTTAACCTCCGTTCGTAATCCTCACCACCACTGTATTCCTGACTTGTCAGCCAGCCCTTGCTACATTGTCATTTTCATCAACCTTAGTTGGCCACACCTTTGGCCGTGTTTGCCATCACATCATTGTCTCTTTATCTGTCCATTGTTGTTTCTTCGTCTGTACATTGTTCCTTTTGAATATCTGTTTATGTTTCCACCTATTCCGACTGCCTGTGTAAGGACGACCATGAGCAGGATGTGCCACTGGTAGGAAACTGTAGGTTGAGCTGGAACCACCCACTGCTGTATTTGTGTGTTGCTTCTATAGCCAATAAAGAGGTTTGTATTTCCTCGTCTATCTCATCATCTTATTTTGTTGCTCTAGTTTGTATTTTCCGGCTTACACACAACCAATCTGTGTTAACCAAACTATTTTTCTTTAGACATATATGACTTCATGGAGTAAGTTGAAAATGCTGGTGTAACAGACAGGGAGATGCAATGTAACATACATCAGATTGTAAGTTCTTCCTTCGATGTATCAACCAAAAAGCTGCTTGCATGTCCGCGATTTTGATATGGTTTCTTTCATATTCATATCAAACATTACACTGAAAGCTAACTTTAGAATTAGACGTATTCTTCACTAGATGAGTTAGAGCATGTTGGAACAATGCATGTATGCAATAGCTCCCCGTCTGAAAGGCTCTAGGCGTAAACATCCATAATTCATGTTGAACATAGATATTTCGTCTATTAGATCCAAGGTTCATTTGACAGGCCTTTAAGTACCCTACAGCCTAGTCCAAGCATGTCCTTACTGAATTTGTTAGCATTAATATCATTTGATTAGAACAGATGTCATTGCTTCATCTGATTAACATAGTGTACAAGCTTTGATAGCACATATTCCTGACAGTCGGACCCATGATAACGATTATATGCATTGTAATGTATATTTACAACACTCAAAGTATACGATCAGTACAACATGATGACACAGAGGTGTAAGACCAAACAGGTGCGAGATGCAACCTGCAGCCTTGCCAGACGTCTACTGTCTGCGTCAATTTGCAACTGCGTGTCATTGTTTAATGGTCAAAACTGCTTTAAACCACACTCACTAACACTGATGGTTATGGTGTAAAATATGAACGTGGCGACCAATAGAAAATTAAAGGATCAGCTGTAATGGTGATTTAATGTATATGTGAATGGTGTATATGAAAGTCGTCACAGACTGTTGAATTGGTACAGGTTTGAGAAGCAAATGTCAACACTCAAATGGGGTCACATAAATGAAAGTCAAACCCTGCTACACAAACCTACTACGAAGTTAAATTTCTGGAGAGCAGATAAACTAGGCGTCATTGATAAAGGTCAATTGATACATAACACACAAGTTTCTCAGAAATAATAGAACTGAGAGTGTCACCACAATGTTTAATATGTTGACAAACGTGACACATCGATATCGTGACATACACATAAACAGCACTACCAAACATCAGTTGAATAGACTAACCTAACAAAATGAACATGACAAACATGAAGCACTCGGACAATCAATATCTTGTGTACCTCCTCGCACGTCCAAGACACGGGTACATCTTGTTCTCATGCTCCTGAACTCATCAAGTTCATAAAGAAAGCTTGTGGAATCGTATTCCATTCCTCTACTTCAGCTCTGCGGAGTCCTGGGAGATCCACTGGTGCTGGGTGACGTGTGTACACATGTCAACTGAGGTCATCCCAGGCATGCTCAATTGGGTATAGGTCTGGCGAGCATGCTGGCCACTCCATCCGCTCTACACCCTGCTGCCTAAGGAATTCCGTGACAATCCTGGCCCTATGAGGCCAGGATGGTACTGCTATAGGAGCCAGAATCTCGTCCCGATAACGCTCTCCGGAAAGATTACCGTCGACCACGTGCCGTGGAGTACGTCCAATAGGAGTTATCCCTGCCCAAACCTTAACCGAATCCCCGCCAAATCGGTTATGCGTGGCCACAGTTGCATTTTTGATTCGCTCTCCATTGAACTGAATCTGTGAAGAGCACACGAGACCATTGACGTTGATTCCAGCGACCATGATGTGTACTTCATCTCAAACGCTCCTGCCTGTGACGTAGTGTTTGGCGAACTGCAGGACGCCTACAGCGGAGTCCGGTTGCCTTCAAACGTCGACGAACGGTACCCTGTATGTCTTACATATCTGTCTGAAGATCTGCTGCGTTAAGGAATCTGTTACGTAACGCAGTGTTAATCTTGTGCCTATCATCTCGGACTGCAGTGACTCGGGGCGACCTGGTCAACGTGCATATTCCACGGATCCAATGGCTTGAAAGCTCTGCCACAGTCTACCAATAGCACTCTGACTCACATTAAAGCGGACAGCAACCTGCAGCTGAGTTTGACCAGATTCCAAAAGGCCTATAGCCTGACCCCTTTCAGCACGTGACAAAAACGTCTCGTTTTAGCTGCGATTTCAAACAGGTACCTGAACAATGAACGACATTGAAAAAGCATCAATGCATGTGTATTGTCCTCCACTTTACATGGATAGAGCGATGTACACGTGCAAATCATTGACATTAAGTGGCAGGTGGACTTCCATATTGAAAATTTGAAACGTTAAAGAACGTAATAATGACATTTCAACGGCCTGATTTGTTTTTCCATACTGTTAAGAAAGTTTGTAAAAACAACCTTTAAGAAACAGTGTTACCAATAGCTTGACTCTTCATTAATGACGCCGAGTATATGAAGAAAAGTAAATCAGCTGCACAGGGTCGGCAATAGTGAAGTGTCGTACCCAGAAGAGGTGGATCGACATTCCCTTAATAGCCCCGGTGTTAAAAATATACATAACATGAAAGCAAACACCGGTGCAGCGTCATACAAATACTGTCTTGGCCTTCCCAAGGTCAACAGTCATGGCTCTTATCATTATAGTTGTTGGAACGTTTCCAACTTTTACATCAGAGTTAGATACTGATTTCAATATGACAAAAGAACGAGCAGGCAAAGGTATATGTGCGGCGCATACTTACAGTGGCGTGACCAATGTAGACAACGTATGATCTTTATTTATACACACAAGCGACGTTAGACAGCGGATTGAAGTACATACCTCTAGTGAACAGACATTGCACACGATACTTTGCAAACCATTTCATTCCGTAGAAACGTCGATTGTGGTTTTTCAGACGTCATGACGGAGCAATGGTGCTTTGTTGCCGCAATGGTAAGAAAAATTGATTGATTTACATTGATATTTCACTACAACCAATATATCAACAAAAGCACTCTGTGATTCTGTCCCAGGATTCTGGTTAGAATATATGTTTCCGAGTATAGTTCTGATATATCATATTATATGCAGATGTTTTAACACTAATGTGACTCTTATGTTCACATAATAATGTATAGTTATGCATTTTTCATTCCAGTGTTTCAGTTTTGTGTTTGGATTTACTTTGGAACATGGAAGTAAGTATAACTTCAATGTATGGGTCATGCAATTGCTGCAAGGAAAGGTTGTACCTCATGATAACATGCAAGACATACTCCTTCGACATACTTGCATTTCGTAACGAAATGTAGTAACGTGTTCACTTGTTTTGTTGTACTGTGTGCTTGTACTCGGGACAAATAACACGGGAGTAGGTCAGTTTAAGGTGAAGGTCACATCTGCAGCACCTCAGCTGTATAGCGAGGGACACAACACGTAACTATATTCTGCGTATAAGTGTCGCTCTATCTGAGATTTACTCTGGGCCATTGGTTCGTTGTGGAGTGGTATGTGCACTTTGTGCTGCCTGTGGACCGCCACAATAATTGACTGTTCCCAAAAAACAGAGAACGATCTGGGGAAAAGGTGCACACTTTTATCAAAGGCATATATGTATATGCATATGTATTACAGGTGGCTCATGCAACGAGAGATGTTTATACTGCCAGGGAACAAAGTGTCGGGAATGTCTCTACGGCTGGTATGGACGACACTGTAATGACAAATGCAGTGAGTATTGCTGGCATGGTGGATGTGAGAGGATAACAGGACGTTGTCACCAGTGTGTTCCTGGAAGACACTCAGGTGATTGTACCCAACTCTGCTCTCATCACTGCAGGGAGAATAGCAACGGACAGGTCAACTGTGACATAACGACTGGAAACTGTTTGGAGGATTGCGTGGAAGGAAGGTGGGGTCCACGATGCCAGTATAGATGTCCTGCCAACTGCAAAGAAAATCTTTGCTACAAAGAGGATGGAGTGTGTCTGAGAGGCTGCGTTGATAGATTTCATGGCTTCATGTGTAAAAGTCAGTGTTCAGAAAGTTGTTGGAACTCCACATGCCAATGGTTAAATGGGAAATGTACACATGGATGTAAAACAGGTTATACTGGCTCAAAATGTTCCAATCCACGCACAAGACACTGTATGGATCCTGAATCCTATTTCATAGACGACCAGACATTGGTGTGTGAAGGTGGATGTAAGCCTGGTTGGACCGCGGCACACTGTGGAGACACTTGCACGGAGAGGTGTGAGATATGTCACCAGTTTGACAAAACATGCCAGCAGTGTCAGCCCGGATTTTATGGAGTAGCATGTCAACTTGAATGTGGCATGAACTGCAATCAAACACACTGTGACATGTCAGGTCGATGTGACAAAGGCTGTATGGGTGGCTTCCGCGGGGAATATTGCAACGAAACCTGTCCGTTCAACTGTTTAACGTGCAGTCAATGGCAAAATACATGTACACTCTGTAAACAAGGCTATACCGGTGACCAGTGCCTTGAGACCACCATTCCTGAAGTTGACCCCGCTACAGGTACCTCCCTATTGATCATCAAGTCATGATAAAAGACATCATATATTCTTTGGTTTAATATCCATGTGATCTGTGCCACAAATAGTACATATACTGTGCATTAACAACTTATATGTTTACTTCATCACATTGACAAGACCAATGCGATTATGTCGATGTCATTTGACACCATTTAGATCACAGGTACATTGTGCTATGAAATGAAATGAAATCTGACATGAATAAGGTTATATTTATTGATGGTTCGTGATATGTTTTAAATATAAATGGCCAGACTGTTGGTACCAATATCGACACTGCTAACTGATACTTTGGGTTGTTGTTTCAGACGAGGGCGTGCACACACAGCCGAACATCCAGACAGTACTGCTCCTTGTTTCTGTAGCTCGTATTATCAAAACCTGAAACATATAAGAACTTGTGTGATGTAGTGTTCAGGATAGTGCTTATCAGGGCGATCCCCAGGTATGAAACTCAGGGCAGCTCGAAGATGTTGTCGGAACTACCTCTCTCACCGGACAACAGTGTGGAACCAAGACTGTGAACACTGTGGACAGGAAGTAGGAGTTCCACCCTTAACTACTGCGCTTCGTATTGGAGGAGACGACAGAGCTTTCTGGTTCTTGTAAACAAAAATCCAAGAGAGCTGATATTGGCTTCACAACGGATGACATCGCTTGTTTCACTCTTAGGCCCGCCTGGTGGTCATCACGTCGTATTCCCGGGTTCCATTCTACGCATGTGAAGTCCATTTTGTTGTGCCCCGTGGTCATATTTCTGGAAAACTAAAAGGAGCGGCGCAAAAATGTATTCACTTACGTTAACTAAACTATGTACTAGTTTAAAGTCATATGGAATTTCGTGTTACGATATCGAATAAAATATCTGTAACTATGAATTCAAGCTGATTATGTTCAATGCGAAAAGTCACGTATACATACTATGATAAAGTGAATATATAACTGACATTTGCAATATTAACACACATTGTTTAATTCAGCAACTTTAGCAAGTAACAACACACCTCTCTGTTTGGGTACTTTGTTAGTTTAACGCCGCAATCTGCAATATCCCAGCTATATCACGGTGCTCTGTCAATAAGCGACATTCTGGACCAGACAACCATGTGACTGATTCCTTAGGAGTCGATATTTGCAACAGGGATACAATCATATGCATGTAGGAAGTCATCGAAATGGACCACCCGATCCCGTTAGTCACCCCTTAAGACAAACATGGGTTGCTTAAGACCAAATTCGCACCCGCATCTTTGGTCAGTAACACAGGAATACGAAACAGTTGTGTAGGAATGATAAAACGTTGTTACAACTGTGTTTCTTAGCGATTGTGAAAAGAACTAATGTAATGTCAAATGTCACTCAGTGTACAATACTGCCAAAAGATATCAACTGTTGTGGCTGCTGATGTTGAAATATGTGAGAGCTGCATCATTCACTGATGAGAGCTGCATCATTCACACAGACACACATCAGAAGGTCGCTGGTTCGATTCCCGGCCGCTGCATGCAAAACTACGGTAGTTGTTGTTACCGAGCCTGGTGCATTAAGGGGCTAAAACTGAGTGGGATATCCCAGACGGATACCACAGTAAAACATGCATTAGTCCAGACACATACTCATGCACGGACGTCTGTACATTGTTCCTGTACATTGTGTATTTGCTTATCATGTATTGTATAGCCAATAAAGAAGTTTGTATTTCCTCGTCTTTCACTTCATCTTATTTTGTTGTTCTAGATTGTATTTTCCGGCTTACACACAACCAATCTGTGTCAGCCATGTATGTATGTATGTATGTATGTATGTATGTATGTATGTATGTATGTATGTATGTATGTATGTATGTATGTATGTATGTATGTATGTATGTATGTATGTATGTATGTATGTATGTATGTATGTATGTATGTATGTATGTATGTATGTATGTATGTATGTATGTATGTGCGTGTGTGTATGTATTTATGTATGTGTGTGTATTTGCGTGTGCGTGTGTGTATGTAGTGTTATGATGTGTGCATGCGTCTTTGTGCATGCGTGGGTGTGAATATGTGTGTGTGAGTGTTTTAGATCCTGGGTCCATTTGTCGGGTCTTTGAAACAGCATAGTCCAAACATGTCCTTGATGACACAGAGGTGTAAGGCCCAATAGGTGCGAGATGCGACCTGTAGCCTCGCTAGACTTCTACTGTCGGTGTCAGTTTGCAACTGCTTGTCATTGAGTAATGGTCAAAACTGCATTAAACCACACTCACTTACACTGGTGGTGATGGTGTGAAATATAAACATAAAAATTTGAACATGGCGACCAATATAGGAAATTAAGAGATCAGCTGTAATGGTGATTTAATGTATATGTGAATAATGTATATGGAAGTCGTCGCAGACAGTTGAATTGGTACAGATTTGAGGACTGTCAACACTCTAATGGGGTCTCATTAATAAAAGCCAAAACCTGCTACACAAAACTACAACGAAGTTAATTTTCTGGAGAGCAAATAACTATTAACAAAAGTAAATCGGGTGCACAGGCTCGGCAATAGTGAATTGCCGTACCAAGACGAGGTGGACCGATGTTCACTGGATTGTCAGCTCAGGGTTAGTTATTTACAGGCCGTCGATATACATAGCCCCGCTGTTAAATGTAACATGAAGGTGAACTCCGTTGCAACGGGATACGAATATAGTCCTGGCCTTCAGAGTCAACACTCGTGACTCTTATCATTATAGTTGTTGGAACGTTTCCAACTTTTACATAAGAGTTAGATACTGATTCGAATATACCTTTTGACCAAGTGTGGTAGACACTTACAGCGGTGCGATCAATGTAGACAACGTATGATCTATATTTATACATGATTTTGGGCACAGTAGAGGCATTAGTCAGCGGATTGCAGTACATACCTCTAATGAGGAGCCATTGTGATACTTTTCAAACTGATTCAAACGTCTTTTTGTGTCTGTATCTTACATCATAACATCTGATTGTGTGTTTTTTTCTGACGTCATGACGGAGCAATGGTGCTTTGTTGTTACAATGGTAAGAAAAATGAATTTAATCACTACAACCAATATAACAACAAAAACACACTGTGATTCTGTCCCCGGATTCTGGTTAGAATATATGTTTCCGGGTATAGTTCTGATATATCATATTATATGCAGATGTTTTAACACTAATGTGACTCTTATGTTTACATAATAATGTATATTTATGCATTTTTCATTCCAGTGTTTCAGTTTTGTGTCTGGATTTACTTTGGAACATGGAAGTAAGTATAGCTTCAATGGTCATACGATTGCTGCAAGTAAAAGTTGTACCTCATGATTATTATTATGCTATCATTAATAAAGCGGCGATATCCAGCTCAGCTGCTCAAAGGTGCTTTGTTTTCCCTCGATCACTGGATGTCAATGTCAACGACACGTCGTATTATCAATCTCAACTCCCTGGGCGCACCGTGTTAGTGTGGCTTTCAAATCCTTACGAGGTACCCATTCAGAGCAGGATGGACTGGGACACATAGTCACAGTACTTTGTCAAGTTTACTGCACGTTGCTGTACCCGCAACTAGTTGTTTGCACGTATTCATGTGGCCACCATCTGGTCATATACCAACAGATTCGTGGGTTTCTTTTAAGTGCACGGGGTTGAGTACTATACACTAGGAGGATTGTGACAACACTGAAAGAGTCTGAACACAAAGTTGACTCCAAGGTTTGTACACCCGGTAACAGATTGGCTCGATCCCGTCACCTCAAGCTCGCTGGATCACTAGCCTGGCGCCTTAGCCAGTTCGCCCACCATGCCCCCATAATAACAAGCAAGACATACGTCTTCGACATACTTGCATTTCGTAATGAAATGTAGAAACGGTTTTGATTATTTTGTTGTAATGTGGTTGTACTCGGAACAGATAACACGCTAAGGGAGTGAGTCAGTTTAACGTTAAGGTCACATCTGCAGCACCCAGCCGTATAGCGAGGGACACAATACGTAATAGTATGACTCTATAATGTATGTTTGCAGTATTGTAATCAACAACTACATTCCGCGTATTAGTATCGCTCTATCTTAGATTTACTTATCCACCGGAGCCATGGGTTCATAGTGGAGTGGTATGTGCAAAGAGTAAGTTGTTTACTCGTACTCTATGTGCTGTCTGTGGACCACAATAATTGACTGTTCCCAAAAAACAGAGACCGATTGGGGAAAAGGTGCACACTTTTACAAAAGGCATATATGTATATGCATATGTATTACAGGTGGTTCCTGCAACGAGAGATGTTCCTACTGTCTTGGAACAAAGTGTCGGGAATGTCACTACGGCTGGTATGGACGACACTGTAATGACAAATGCAGTGAGTATTGCTGGCATGGTGGATGTGAGAGGATAACAGGACGTTGTCACCAGTGTGTTCCTGGAAGACACTCAGGTGACTGTACCCAACTCTGCTCTCATCACTGCAGGGAGAATAGCAACGGACAGGTCAACTGTGACATAACGACTGGAAACTGTTTGGAGGATTGCGTGGAAGGAAGGTGGGGTCCACGATGCCAGTATAGATGTCCAGCCAACTGCAAAGTAGAACTTTGCTACAAAGAGGATGGAGGGTGTCTGAGAGGCTGCGTTGATAGATTTCATGGTTCCATGTGTAAAGATCAGTGCTCCGAAGGTTGTTTGAACTCCACATGCCAATGGTTCACTGCCAAATGTACACATGGATGTAAAACAGGTTATACTGGCTCAAAATGTTCCAATCCACGCACAAGACACTGTATGGATCCTGAATCCTATTACATAGACGAACAGTCATTGGTGTGTGAAGGTGGATGTAAGCCTGGTTGGACCGCGGCACACTGTGAAGACACTTGCCGGGAGAGGTGTGAGACATGTCACCAGTTTGACAAAACATGCCAGCAGTGTCAGCCCGGTTTTTATGGAGAAGCATGTCAACTTGAATGTGGCATGAACTGCAATCAAACACACTGTGACATGTCAGGTCGATGTGACAAAGGCTGTATGGGTGGCTTCCGCGGGGAATATTGCAACGAAACCTGTCCGTTCAACTGTTTAACGTGCAGTCAATGGCAAAGTACATGTACATTCTGTAAACAAGGCTATACCGGTGACCAGTGCCTTGAGACCACCATTCCTGAAGTTGACCCCGCTACAGGTACTTTTCCTATTGATCATCAGTCATGATAAAAGGCATTATATATTCTTTGGTTTAGCAGTCATGTGGCCTGTCCCACAAATGTAACGTATACTATGCATTAACAACTTATATGTTTACTTCATCACATTGACAAGACCAGTTAGATTATGTCTATGTAATTTGATACCACTGACTTTTTAGATCACAGGTTCAATGTGCTATGAAATGAAGTGAAATCTGAGATAAATAAGGTTTGATATCTTTGACATATAAATGGCCAGACTAACCAACATCGATACTGCTAACTGATACTTTTGGTTGTTGTTTCAGACGAGGGCGTGCACATACTGCCGAACATCCAGACAGCTTTGCTCCTTGTTTCTGTAGCTCGTATTATCAAAACCTGAAACATTAGAACTTGTGTGCTTTGGAGTTCAGAATAGTACTTATCAGGGCGATCCTCAAGTATGAAACTCAGGGCAGCTAGAAGACATTGTCGGAATTACCTCTCTCACCGGAGAATAGTGTGGAACCAAGACTGTGAACATTGTGGACAGGAAGTTGGAGTTCCACCCTTAACTGCTGCGCTTCGTATTGGAGCAGACGACAGAGTTTCCTGGTTCTTGTAAATGGAAACCCAAGACAATGAAATGCAAAGCAATGACAATGAAATGACAATGACAATACAATTCAACTGACAATACAAGTAAAATTGCAAACAAATAGAAGTGACACAAGTGATGCCATCCGTTGTGAAGCCAATATCAGCTTGTGTCACTCTGCAAATTTCGTTGTATTGAACTCTCTTTAACACTGAATTAATTTTTGAATTAATAAAGTTAATGATTTGACCGATAGGGCAGCCTAGTGGTCATCACGTCGTATTCCCGGGTTCCATTCTACGCATGTGAAGTTCTGTTGTGCCCCGTGGTAATATTTCTAGAAAACTAAAAAGAGCGGCGCAAAAATGTATTCACTTACAAACGTTAACTTAACTATGTACTAGTTTAAAGTCATATGGAATTTCGTGTTGCGATATCGAATAAAATATCTGTACCAATGAAAAAATGTTTAATTCTCAATTCCAGCTGATTATGTTCAATGCAGCTCCAACACGTAATATGATAAAGCGAATATATAACTGGCATTTACATTATTGACACACATTGTTTAGTTAATTCTTGCTTTGTCAAATGCGTAAAAACAAATTCAGCAACCTTAGCAAGTGACAACCCATCTCTGTTTGGGTATTTTTTTCTTGTAGTTGTTGCTTAAAGTCGTAATCAGCAATATCCCAGATATATCACAGCAATATTATTATATATAAGCGACATTCTGGACCAAACAACCATGTGACTGACCCCTTGAGCGTGGATATTTGCAACTGAGATACAATGATATGCTTGTAACAAGTCATCTAGATCGACCACCCGATCCCGTTAGTCACCTCTTAAGACAAACACGGGTTGCTGAAGACCAATTCGCACCCGCATCTTTGGTCAGTAACACATGAATACAAAACAGTTGTGTAGGAATGATAAACGTTGCTACAACGGGTCTAGGACAATTGCCAAACATTACAAGTTGATCAAAGTCAGAATATCAAACTACCCCAAAACATTTACTTTTTCAACATCTAAAGTTGTGTTTATTGACAACCTGCATTCATTTTTTCAAATATAATTACATACAATTCTGGGTGGCAATTGTCCTCACTATTATAGTGAAAATAACTGGGAGGCAATTGTTCTAGGTAGCAATTGTCCTAGGTGCCAGTTGTCCGGGTGGCAAATGTCCTACTCCCGTTAGAACTATGTTTCTTAGCGATTGTGAAAATACCTAATGTAATGACGTCTGCCAAATGTGAACTGCACAGACATCAGAAACACATCACCAGTGTACAATACTGTGAAAAGATCAACAGATGTCGCTGCTGATGTTGAACTATGTGAGAGCTGCACCATTCACTGATGATACTGACGAGACACACAGACACACATCGGAAGATTGGTGGTTCGATTCCTGGCCGCTGCAAACAAAACTACGGTAGTTGTTGTTACCGTGCCTGGCGCTGGCATTAGGGGCTAAAACTGAGTGGGGTATCCAAGCGCGATACCACAGTAAGACATGCATTAGTTCAGACATACTCATGCACGGACGCACTGACACAGGGATACAGAGTAAATGGAATGTTTCAATGGGGCTTTATAATTATTACTTTCAAATAGTACTTTTTAATCGGGGTTTTTGGAAGTTTTAAAGTAAGGTTATTGATCGCGATGGACACACGGCATACACTCAACTCTTATGGACTCGGTGTTCTAAATTGGACGTGTCGTTTACCACGCATTGTTTACATTCATTTACACTATTAATTCAATACTTCCCTAATGCAAGTATTTCCCTCTTCCACACAAAAGTTTCTACTTATAACAGTGAGGCAGCTTTACGGGTAGGATAAACATGCCGTGAGTATAGTTAATTTCATAAAGAATACATTGTTTAAATCAAATGTAAACGGAAACATGACATATATTTCATTTCAAATTTATGTTTTAAGTCATCAACTGTTTGGACATTATACCGGAAGAATTTCCCCGTTGACTGTAGTCTGAGGTTAAAGTACATTTTTTCACATGTGTCTGTCGGTCATTTACAGTTACACGTGAATTTTGTAGCTGGAGAAGTCCTTCTCATAGACATGTGGAATGTTTACAGCGGACCGACTTTTCTGATACTCCTCATCAGTGGATATATCGGTGGTAAGTGAAGGGGTTGCAACATTCGTGTTGAAGATTTAGAAGTTTATAAGCGATCGGGTATACATTTGAAACTGATTGTAACCCATTCATTCAAATTGATACAAGACCACAAAAAGTAAATTGTTTCCAGAAAATGGGCTTGTTTACAGTCATTCTCGATTGTAATCAGTAGGCCAAATGTGAGGTCTTTGCAACTGTAACCAGTTTTACTGAAGTTGTATGACTTTTTAATTACAGAGGCCTCTGATGAATGTAGTTATGTACAGCGGTGTAAAGACGAGGTCTGTGATGGAGCTGGCTGCACAAAGGGCTGCAAGGATGGTTACTACGGCCCCAGTGTAGATATAACTGCACTGGTAACTGCATGAACAATCGCTGCAATGAGTCTGCATTTGGTGGAGCATCTTGTATAGATGGATGCAAAGACGGCTTTTGGGGTGAGAAATGCACCTCTAAGTGTCCCCACGTTTGTAAGCGATGCAACAATGACGCTTCATGCAGCGAATGTGACGGCTTCCATTACGGACCCATGTGTACGGCAGACTGCAGGGGAACATGTTCTGTGTCTGGTTGCCACAGCAACGGGACATGCAGGCAAGGCAATCACACGATGTCTCCATGTGGCTCTAACTGCATCTTCTGTAACGTCTCCAGTGGCATCTGCACGCGCTGCAGAAGAACCTACGCTGGGGAGAAATGCGACGTATATTGCGGAAACTGTGCCGGAAGTTGTTCTGTTGATGGATGTTTAGAAGGATGCTCACCAGGTCACCGGGGACCGTACTGTGAAGATAGCTGCAGCGAAAGGTGTTCTGGGAATATCTGTGATCAGGAATCCGGGGAATGTTTGAAAGGGTGTCACAATGGATATCACGATCCCGATTGTTCCAAAATATGCCCAAGTCGTTGTATACGGGATATCTGTCATCAACGTTCAGGACAATGCAAACACGGCTGCCAGAATGGACATTACGGACCCTCGTGTAAACGGATTTGTGAAAACTGTTTTGATGAGACATGCAATCGCAGCACCGGCCGATGTGTGTACGGATGCAGTGACGGGAGGTATGGGCTGGACTGTAACCAAGAATGCAGCCAGCTGTGTCAGTCTGGGAGATGCCGGAGGGAAGATGGGGCGTGTTTGATAGGGGACGGCATCAGTAAGTTCATTTGTGTATATTATTGTAATAATTGTGCTTGTATTAACATATTATCAGGGAATGTAATAGACAACTGTAGATGACAAAATGAAAGTATCCAGGACACACAGATGATGAACGCTGTATGTTTCTACGTTTCTCCCCAATTAGCAACCGCGACATGTCATCATCTTCTACTCGTATTTTCGTAAATGTAGGTTTCAATTTCAGATTTAAATTCAAAAACGAGATCTAACTATAGGTTTTCCTTTTGCAGATTCTACCCCAAAACCATCCTTGGGAAAAGAAGCAGTCCGTACCAATGTGTATTTAATACTCGCCTCAGTGGGGATATTCTTGCTATGTGTAGTGGCAGCGGGGATACTGATGATAAGGTACATGATAATAGGAGTGGACAACACTATGAGAAGATGATTTCCACTTTGTTAATGACCTGTTATTAAACAATACTATTATCAAATGGAAAAAGTTCGCAAATGATTCTGATAAAAGCATTGATCGTCTCTATTGTAACAATTCCGTGTTTGTCAAGTGGGGACCTAACGGAACACTTTACTGTTATTCCTATTGCAACAGGTTCTGCCGATCTCCCTGTCTGACGAGACTGAACAGGACCAATCCTCCACCGTCAAGAGGATCACTACCAGGCCCCCCACCTCTACAGCCCAGCAGCAACATGTACAGTGTAATATACGAAGACCAAATGGACTCAAGTGCCCAGTCCCTGAGAAGTAACACCTTAACTCGGCCTGCCCTTGTGCTTCCCATGTCGAACATTGTGTCCCCGTCTAAAGACGAGCCAGAGGAGTGCGTGTTCTCAACCCCTGGGGAGGTTCTCCAAATACCCTCGTCTTCTGACAAACCGGCATCGGAATATCCTGAACAACCCAACCTCTGTGCGTCTCCAGAACCTGACAGTTCCACCTACGAAAGTCTCTCTAGTGGGCCCCACAGCCCACACAAACAGAGAACTGTTCCTCGTTCCTATATCACTCCGGTCTCTGATGACCATCAACCTCAGCTGTCATAAAACTGTGTTATTGAGAAATGTCCAAGCTAAATCACCACTACCCGTAAATGACAGTGTCAAGAGCAGAGATATCAGTGACTTTATTATGAGCAACGGCTCTCACTTTGTACTTGTCTTCTGCCGACCACATGGCTGATTTTGACATACAGTGTCAACACATGAGCAACAAGTAGTCGATAGATCATTTTTATAAGTTTTATATTTTACAAATAGTGATAATTTAATCAATAGGCAAGCTTATCTAATGTGAAGTGAAATTGGAAACCGGAACTGACTTCCTTGATGATTTTGATGTAAATAACTTTACATTATAAATGAAACACATTTGTGAAGAATCTTTCAACTTCAGTGGGGAATAAGTAGAGTGAGGTTTAACACTGCTTGAATCAGTGGTCCAGTTAAATAACCGCGTGTCAGTTTAATATAAGAGGTAAGGTCTGGAGCATGTCAGTCTCAGACGTGTACCACTTTGGTCTGCTCTAGAAAGCAGTATTTGTACCCACGATCTTGGGTTTCTGAGGTGAATAAGGGACGCAACTCTGCAGCGCCTCAAACACAAGGGCAAGACCCTACTCGTTCCCCCAAAGTAATTATGGAAGGTATGGTAGACTATCATTTTGAACATAGTTACTGAATCATCTCTCTTCCCTGGAAGTTCTACAAAAAGCTGGCTTCTTTCCTGAACTAGACTTACCAATATGCACCATAATGTCAACCTTAAACAATCTGTTTTTCTCCGAGTATTTCATTTTTCCTGATGGTGTCAGACAGGTTGAATACCTTTCCCCCCTCCATCGTTTTATGAATATATGCTGCACTTTAACCCGCAGATTCATAAAACTATTTGGAAATAGAACTGGATCGAAATGGAAGATTGATACACGATGAATATACTGTCCAAAAATGGAACTAAAGCCATGTATAGTCTGCTTAAGTCCTCAAGTATCTGATACATTACAGCATATCTGACACATATATATTTATGTATCAGACAACTGCTGGCATTTTTAAACCCATCGGTGTGTTCAACACAACGGCTTTTCTCAATCACCATTTTCATCACAAATGCGAACTAAGGAGTATTTACATGATCTGCCTTTGTTTCAAAATACCCATTTCTTTCTGGATCTTTCATTTAATCCTGTATAAAGAACTACCATGTGTTAATTACCTCTTGGAACAGACATATTTAATCACCAGAAAAACCATCGAGGGTAACTTTTAAATGAGATGATTTCGTTTGAAAGTGAAACTCTCCTAAGGCAACGATATGTTCTCCTTTAATAGCAAATATGTTAAGTGTTAAACTTTTGACTACCAGTGTTAGACAATTGACAAACCCTAATTATGTAAATAATCCAGTTAGCAGAAACAATGTGACTTTATTTTATTTTCACGACTGTTGAGTTGCAACGGTTTTGTACATAATGGAAATTGTATATTTTAACAACATGATGTTTGTAGAATACGTGAGTAAACTTAAGGTTGGTTTCAGGAAACTGTCCATGCGATAGTTGACGTTCATCATCATTATCAGCACCATCACCATCATTATTATCATTGCAGTTATGATAAGTTTGTATGAAACCGAAATAAAAACAATGTTTAATAAAAACAACACATAAAGATTTCCGCAAATATCGCCATATGTACATATCGCCTAATAAGGAACAAGGAGACGGTCTCTCAGGTCTCTCCAGTTCACCCTTTCATACACACAAGTAAACAGGTAAAACACTTCCTTGTCTTGGCGACAACATATGCAGTGTTGTATTCAGCCCCTACTTGTTCCCGGGGAATGACACATTATTCACCCCAACAGTGATATGGAAAGCATGCACCCTGAACCCTCACAGTGTACAGAATACTGTCACTTGCTGAGCTCTTATCACGTAGCCACATGACCTAGCTATGTACATTAATCACGTATACAGTGCATGCCATGGTGTCGGGTAACTTCACTTGACTTCGTGCCCTTAGTACTGACTGTTAAGAGAAACAGATATAGAATGATGGTATGGTATGGACAGTACAAACTACACCTTCAATGAAAATTAGTATTATGATACTAGTCTTTTAATGCTAGTCTTTTAATTGTTTAGTCGATGCAGACCCGTGAAGATCCGTATTATATTGGCCTTCAGTAACGCTTGTCGTAAGAGGCGTCTACCGGGATCTGGTGGTCAGGCCCGTTGACTTGGTTGACACATGTTATCATATCCCAATTGCGTAGATCGATGCTCATGCTGTTGATCTCTGGATCGTCTGGTACAGACTCGATTATTAACAGACATATAGCTGGAAAATGGCTGAATGCGGCGTAAAACTCACTCACTCATTAGTCGATACAATAAGGCGTTAAAAGATGGGACATGTTGATACCCAGCCTGGCAAATGGCACAAACTGCACTGGATGGTACAAGGAGCGGTTGGCTGTGTGAATTAGTGTGAAGTATGATAAAACCTCCCTCTCTCTCTCTCTCTCTCTCTCTCTCTCTCTCTCTCTCTCTCTCTCTCACACAAACACACAAATCTGGTAACGGTTAGGGTTAGATAACCATTGAAGCAAATCGTCAGGTTTAGCAGTCTAACATGGAATGATTGAAAAAGGAACAAGTATGTTAACAACAAAATGCCCTTGACTGCAACAAAATATTTAAGAATAATGTTTCTATTTCCTTAGAAATTGTCTTGTTGTTGTTGATCAAATGTTTCCTAACTATAAATCACACAGTCCACGATGCAGCTGCATAACACCATGCCACATCATATCTGTATCTCATCTCATGAGATGTGACGAACAGTATTAGCGAGATAAATGAATTACACGCTACTTTTACCAATACGATCCTGCGTTGTATCAGCGTGTTATCACCATGATGCGCGGAGACTGACATAACTGTATCATGTAATGCATAGGGCTAGCGATGAATAGATAAATACGTCAGTGAACCTGCTATCACGATCCGATAAATGAGGTCACATACTTTCAATCTCCTTATATGGATTATTTTTTTTCTTGTTGAATAAACTGTTGACTAACGCTCCGGATAAGTTTTGAGTTGGCTATACCGAGGTGTGGGTGGACTTGTGTAGGCAAACGCTACTGCAACTTACTTGACGTTATGTATATGTCTCCATTTGCGAAATATAAATTACTTCACTGACAAATTTTAACATAAGTAATTAATCCAAATACATGATTTATCAATCTCTTTACACTTTAATCATATAAAAGATGAGAAAGAGACATGTACCAGACTTATGGTATTGTATCTGAAAGAGCTACATAGTTTTTCAAATGGAAAACAGCTTGATATGTTATGTAATATCCTGTCTTGTGAAGGTTGATATGATATGTCCTCCTATAATATATTGGTTGATATGATTTGTGCTCCTTTTGCATATTATAGGGGGCTACAAATTAAGGAGGTGAGGTAAGGTGAAATGGGATTTAACGTCGCATTTAAAATTTGTTTCGCTCAAATGAGGACGTGTGACTAGCCCAGACTTAACTGGTTTTATAGTGCTAGCTCACTGAGCTGCCGCAGTTAAGCATGAATACCCCACTCAAGACACATTATACTCCGGACCAACAAGTACCATATTTTCACGTCTGGGTAACTTCACTTGACTTTGTGCACTTAGTACTGCTAAGAGAAACACCTATAGACTAGCATAGAGTGATGGTATGGTATGGACAGTACAAACAACACCTTGAATGAAAATCAGCATTATAATGCTATTCTGTTAATACTAGAATTTGAATTGTTTAGTCGATACAGACCCGTGAAGATCCAGGTTAGAATTGATCTTCAGCAACCCATGTCGTAAGAGGCGACTAACAGGATCGGGTGGTCAGGCTCGCTGACTTGGTTGACACATGTCATCGTATCCCAATTGCCACAAATTAAGGAGGTGAGGTGAGGTGAGGTGAAATGGGGTTTAACGTCGCATTTAAAATTCTTTCGCTCATATGACGGTCGACGTGCATGCATGTGTGTGTGTGGCTGCATGTACTAGCCCAGATTTAACGTAAGCATGACCAACACTCCGGACCAACAAGTACCATATTTTAACGTCTTTTGGTATGACGCGACCGAGGATCGAAAGCGTGACCTCCCGCTCTCCGGGCGGACGCTCTAACCACTAGAGCACGGAGGCTTCCAAAAAATGAAGGGATTATCAAGATTGTTACACATGGCAATGGTACACATGCCAATAGAGAATAAAGTTACATATATTAGGGCTAATGTTTTGTGTATCTTTATCATTTAACTGTTAATGAACTGATGGTATCCAACTTGAAATGGATAAAACCTTGTACATGTAATTTGTAAGCTAGTGAAAGCAAAACTGTTTAACGACCCGTCCTCTTGAGTGGTGCTTTCATTAGTAGAGTGTATTTATCTTGCACCCAGTACACAGCGACTAAAGGGGAGTAACTCCTCAACTTAAACGTTACATACTGGAGAAGCCAACAAGAACACTCCTGAGTGAGTGAGTGAGTGAGTGAGTGAGTGAGTGAGTGTGGTTTAATCGATGCTTCCAACACCATGTCATTTAATGACTAGCTTAATACGATGTACAACATGCTCATTGACCATTTCGCCATATTATGTAACATTCTTTACATTCTTATCATGCATAATCTGTATACCGAAATGTAACTGAGCAGTTTACCTTTGCGACATTCGCATTTGTAAATAGTTGGAAAGTTTCAAGCCCCTTAAGTATTAAGTAAGAGAGAACTTTTAAGTTCAGTCTAAGTTCAGATATGAAAAATATTTTCCACTTGACACGGAAATTTTGTTGAAGACACAGACCATGATATCTTGACTGCACACAAATTTCAATAAGTCTCGTAATACTATTTTCCTTTCACAGGTTTCCATACCAACACTGCAACAATGGGGCTAAGGCTGACGTACTGTTTTGGTATCTACTTCAGCTCATCGGACGAGTCGAATATTTTCGTTGATCCTATCAACTTATCTTTGCAGTAGGTGTAGACATATGTTAGGTAAACCTTTGTTCTAATAACCTGGTGACGGCGAATAGCCCACACTGCACGAAATAGTGCATTTCCATGTGTTCCCGCGTGTTTGGAATTTGTTGGATTCTATGCCCATAGGCGACATAACCTATGTAAAATGATATGGGCATGTGCAGCTATATCTTTATGTGTGAGATGTTTGGAATGTTTGGTCATTTAATCAAGTATTTCCATTTATTTATAATGGTTCTTGAACATAACGGAATGAGTGAATTTAATGCGATGCGTTTTATACAAGTCTGAAATTAATGGAAATATAAAAGACTATTTTTGGCTGTTTCAATAGGCTTTGAAAGTGATGGAAATTACAGGAGAATTGACACATATTACAAACTTGACGAAATGGCATTGGGAATATTTGTCTGTCATATAATATCTCTTGAGTTCAAGACATTTGAAATATATTGGGCATAGCGTAATATTATTGGCAGTGTTTGAGTACATTGTATCCTGATATCAAACCCCAGTGCTGAGTTAATCTCTCATTACGCAAGTGGTACGCCAGGACATAGAGATGTACATATAGTGGGGATTTTAAGGTATTGAAGTTTCAATGAACATCTACATGGATTCCTATCAAATGTCCTTGGAAATATGGTTATCATTGTGTAACTATGCTGATAGTAAAATGATATTAGGAGATTCTTGTATTTAGACTCTTGACCAGGGGTTGAATGGTTGGGAAAAATGTAAAATATCAATGGTCAATTTGCAACCTTATTGTATATCCCCTACTTTTTTAATTGTATATAATATTCATTTAATGTATATATGATCTATCTGAAGGTTGTACGATGATACCGTCCCGATGATTCCGTAAAGCTCGAAATATTGACAGGTCTGTAACTCTCCACTATATTGACAACATATTCACACGAAATACTGACGTTCAACGGGAAATATACGACAGCTGGCTTGGCAGTGATCATCTATGCGAGGTCACCCGCTACTGTCAATATTTAAGGACTGACGTTGTATTGTTGACGTTCATCAGCTGATGAAGACAGTGCCGCACGTGAGCAAATTCCATGATGCTTGAAATACTGACAGTTCTGCAACTNGCTCCGCTCGACTGACGCATACTGAACGCGACATACTGAACGCGGCATACTGAACAACAGCTGGCTTTTAGGTGAGGCCATCCGCAACTGTCAATATGTATGTATGAAAACAATTCTAATGCATCTAACACGTCTGCCAATTTCTATACCAACTTATATGCATTATTGAATAGCTGATAGTGATTACATGTAACTTGATGATGGGTAATTGTGTTTCCACTGGAAAATACGACTTATGCAGAGACCAGTTGTTATCGACGATATACATTGTGTTCATTGTCTATCATGATTTTTTTGGCATTGGAAATAACCTACAATTCATATCATGACGTTGTCTATGGCGCATATACATTAAACTTTCTCATAGTTTTATATGTTGGACCCGCAGAAAATATGGGTTAAAATTCAGCAACCCACGGGTACTAACGGGATTGGGGGGTCAGGCTCGCTGATGCATGTCGTCGTATCCCTTAAGCGAAGATCGATGCTCATGGTGTCAAACACTGGATTGTCTGTTCCAGACTTGGTTATCTTCAGACCACACTTTTATACATGTTGATGTAATATTTCTGGTACGGCGTTAAACAACAGACAAACAAATTAAACAAATTTAAACACACACACACACACACACACACACACACACACACACACACACACACACACACACACACACACACACACACACACACACACACACACACACACACACATGTATTTTTACGCCGCACTCAGCAATATTCCGCTATATGGCGGCGGTCTGTAAATATTCGAGTCTGGACCAGACAATCCAGTGATCAACAGCATGAGCATCGATCTGCGCAATTTGGAACCGATGACATGTGTCAACCAAGTCAGCGAGCCTGACCACCCGGTCCCGCACATGAAGTTACAAACCATGACAAGACGTATACTTAATACTTATGGCGCCACAGGACGCCCTAAATGTAACCAGTACTGTGGGTTATGTGCATTGTTATGTGGAAGTCTTATGTGTACATCATCAGGTATTGCTAAAAGGAGGCTTGAATATTTTTATGAAAGTTATGGTACAAGCAAACACTTCATATATTATCTCGGAATATCTTTGAGTTGTCCTTAAAAGTAGGCACTTAATGTTTTGCATTTAAAGCAACACGTTTCAGTTGTAATAATTCTTCTTCATATAGTCCACGGCGATAAAGTTGCAAATATACTTAGACTAAATCTTCCCCAATAGCAATTAATATCCCCACTAATATACTGAGCATCCTCTGTCTAAGTTCCTGAGCTTTGGTCACAGATTCTGCTGTGATACTGAGGGTCTTCAGATGCCAAATTAGTTAAATGACCTTGTATATTCCTCATGGTTTGATTGAGCATTCATGCCTGTATATGGTCTCGGTAGGAAATACACCTCATTAATCTGGAATGTGTTCCAAACGTAGAGATGCTAATCGCATCTACCACACCTACACATAACGTTTCAATTGTACAATGTCCTAATCATTCCTATCTCTTTTATGGAAAGCTTTTCTTTCTAACGTTTGAAACAAGATTTGAACTTGCACACTGTCTGTTTTCCAAATGGTATGTGCACACTTGTTGATGTCATTATTTAGTTTAGTGTCGCTACCTCCTGGTATAAATGATACAAGATCTCTTATGATGTTGGACTGGTAGGGAAACTGATAGAAATGAGTACATGAGAACAACAATAACAAACATTCCCATACTAGGCGTACATCTGAATATAACCGACATGGGGTGCTTGAAATGAGTGCTTTTACATCAATGTCAGCACTATTGCTAACGTAAAGAAATCGGGGTTTTCGTGCCGTGGTAGATATCTACCTCCCAATGTTAACATAGCGATAACGCAAGTATAAGCAAACGTTGATAAGATAGCCAGATGAACTATGCCGCTTGTTCTACGTGGCCGGGTCATGTTGTGAGTGGTCCTGTAGTAAACGAGCGTTGTCCGTTTCTGATTATATAGCTGCAATGGTCGATATGTGAAGGTGTGGTGGAAGAGAATTCTGTTTAACTGTTATGAACGACGTATTAACCTTCCGTCAGAACGTGTTAATGGATGTTGTGAGGTTTGACACGATGGCTCTCACGTCTACCACAGACACTCGCTAGCCTGGACCCCCGGCCTCATGACTGAGTCATTGAACAACAGCCATGACCTGGTGTGTCGCCGTGTTGATTCTGGCTGCCGTTGTTGGTGAGTAGTGTCCTTTCAATACTAGTGAACACATTGATACAATATATAACAGAACGCAGTTTTGTCCAGGACAAGTCACTTATTCCTAGTCATGTCTGAAATAATTCCCGCATGTAGATTCACTGTATCCAATCGCTCATGTTACATGCTACTAACCTCTGTTATTCATCTGTTTAATGAGAACCGTGTGTGGATACAGGTTTACAAGTTGTAAACCATTGAGATTATTCAATATTGTTATGAACTAAAACAGCTCAATCCTACTGAACACGCGAAACTGGTGTTTGATATATATCGAAATGCGCCCAGTAAGATGTACTCTTATTAGGGTCCAGGATGGCAATTGTCCTCGGTGACAATTGTATTCAGTGGCAATTGATCTCGGTGACAATTATCCTCAGTGGCAATAGTTCTCGGTGACATTTGTTCTCATTGGCAATTGTTCTCGGTGACAATTGTTTTCAGTGGCAATTGGTCTTGGTGACAATTGTTCTCAGTTACAATTGTTCTCGGTGACAATAATCCACGTGACAATTCTCCTGCTCCCTCTTTTAAAAGGAAATATCTCATTTCAGAGACTTCTCAATACGGCAGCCACTGTTTGAGATCAAACGATCCCAAGCCATGTATGTACTGTGAGCGGGGCTGGTTTGGCGAGGACTGTAGCCGAAACTGCCCTACATGTGACAATTCTGGATGTGACAGAAACACTGGCATATGCGTCAACTGTGCAGATGGGTTGTACTCAGAGAGCTGTTCCCTGGAATGCCCAGCTAACTGTAAGACGAGCAATGACAACAAGGTCCAGTGTGAAAGGGCCACTGGACATTGTCTCGAAGCATGTAACTCTGGATGGTGGGGAGACAAATGCAACAAACGATGCAGTGACAACTGTCTCCGTTCAGAATGCTTCTTCTATGATGGTTCGTGTGCTTGGGGCTGCAAAGGATGGTTGGACAGGAAGCATGTGCACTGAAAACTGTCCGGAAGAATGTGCATTGAACAAATGCTCCCAGCATGGAAAATGTTCGTTTGGATGCAAGAAAGGTTTCTACGGAGAGACATGTGAAAGTAGATGCAGTAACAAGTGCATGAACAATAACTGCTACTTTGACGACATCATCCACTACACTGTGTGCCGAGATGGATGTAGCGATGGATTTAAGTCAGCTTACTGCAATGAATCGTGTCCTGCTGGTTGTAGAAGATGTCATCAACATAGCGGGGAATGTTCTCTGTGCGAGTCTGGTCGCTGGGGTATGCTGTGTGGGAAACGTTGTTCAACCTGCAGCAACTCGCTCTGTGATATCACTGGAGAGTGTACAGAGGGCTGTCAGACTGGTTATCATGGACATATGTGTGACCGTCCCTGTCAGTCTGACTGTTTGGAGTGCCGCAAGAACGATAGCGAGTGTCTCATATACAAACCTGGCAAGACGGATGAAAGTATTGACACTATTCTGGAAGATCCCAGTGAGGGTGATAATCGGATTGATAGAGGTATGTGTGGACATCTGTTACAAGAAAGGGATATCGCCTTACTGTTTCAAAACAAAGGAACGTGTACCCCGTTAACTGGTGTTCCTCAATCCGAATGCAGCTGTAATGCAAATGTAAATAACCGCCATAAATCAGTCAAATGGTTTTCGTCAAAGTTACTCAGGTATACTTAATCATGCCAATATTTGTGAGTTGTAAAATGTAAAAAAATCTAAACTTTACATGAGGAAATACACAAGCAGAAATTGGCCATCTATGCTGTAGATAAACAGGCACCTACTGCATGAGTATACTGATTTGTATGACCTCTGGAGCATGCATAATGCCAGAACGTGTATAGTCATATCAACCTGAATATATATGTGTATGCATAATTATCCCCCTAAGAGTCCCTAAGTAAGTCCCATCTTATCTAAGGTATTTTTCATTCTCTTTGATTTTAATAGTAGAATATATATGTTCTTGTAATGTATGATTAACTGCTTACAATTGCCTAGAACTGATGTAAATCCAGCCATTGTCCCTGGTAAGATGATCTTCTTCAAGCTGCTGATCCACAGCGGGTCTTTTATCGTTTTTTGATAACATGCTAGTTTTAAGTCAAAATCCTTGATACGTTTATCTTTATGTTCTAAATTTATTATTTTTAATGTATAATTTGTTCTCGTCAAGATGGCAGAGATGTTGCCGATGTGACGTTAAATATTAACTCACTCACTCACTCTCTGCATGTGTACGTCCTTTTCTTTCAGATGATGCTCGAATTCTAAAAATAGCAATACCTGTCACCGTCGCAGTTGCCATTCTAATCTTGATTGTTGCACTGGTTGTCATTTACAGGTATGCCCGTAATAGTTATATCTATAGTCATCAGAAAACACGGAAAATGTAAATCAAAGTTAAAGACTAGCATGTGGTTTCGGGAATAATTCATTGCGGTACCAACAAAATGTACATTTTGTCTTTAAGTTACATGTTCCGATGTTTTGTAGGTGGAGAAAGTTACATAAACGTGGCCATGTTGAGGAACAGCGAGTTCCAGACACAACCTCTGACTCTGAGACAGACGCGTTTGTTACTACACCCGAGACACAGGTGAAACGAAAGGCAACCTCCCTGGAGATGCTGTAGACGTCAGGTGACACAAGGACATGACGTCAACTAGTCTAACTAGCTCTGATACTATATGTCACCCCAAAAACAGGTGCTTCTATGGTGTGTCTAAAAACAATCAGTTTGTGTTGTCAAGAGAAATAATGTGGAGTGCCACGTGCATGATGTTCGGACGTCCTGAGATGGGTTGATCGGTACGGAGAATTGAAAATGTGTTTACGGAAATTCAACTTTACGAAAAGGGATAAAGTCAACAAAACGGTCACCGGTGTCGCAAAAAACCGCCGACGGACTCGGTAAAAACGGCTACAAGGGTTTGAGAAAATGGCCAAATCGGAAGTATATTGCTAGTAAGGACAGTCATTCAGTGCACACTTTGTATATATGAATTATGTTCAACGTATTTAATTTTACGTTATGTTTTCGAGACATTGATGTTATAAGTTAATACCGACCTGTCATATCAATATCTGCACATCAAGTTTTATACGTTTTTGTATTTTCAAGAAATATTTTTAAATGTGGAATGGATTACGCAATCATATCTGTGAGTAAAACCAAATTACAACAGGAACGTTTCATCATCCAAAAGTAACCCCCCACGGGTGATATCACTTGGCTACAAATCGATTTGAGCAGAGCATTGTGACGCCATCGACCACAATGACGTCACAATCGAAATCACTAATCTCTCTGCCAGTAGTTGGTATGCTGTACTTTTTACACAAAAGAAATACTTCATACTATTTACAAACTGAAAGATTAGGAAGAATGATGTTGGATGACACAAACATTTTCAAACTCGTTTCTTTAGAAGTGAAATGTTACACAATTTAATCGAGACGTATTGGTATATTGGATGTAAAGCCACACTTTGATGTTTGCCTTGTGGCATTGTCTTGTCCGTATTTCTAGGTTTAAGTTAAAGGTTATAGACAAAGTTTGTTATTCCTATCCACCTTGATTATAGAGAATCGGAATTAGTTGAATGTTTAGTTTGTTAGAAACCGTAGGTACATACCTAACTTGTTGTAGCCGCTACACTAATTTTTGCAGTGTGTCTTGTCAATATCTACCATCTCTAATCGATTCCCAGCGGTTCAAGGGAAACAACTCCTGCCGCGATAGTCACTAGTACTCACACCTGTACAATGTTCATGATCAATGTTATACGTCACATGTCCGCCATGTAGCTGGAATATTGCTGGGTGCGGCGTAAAACTAAACTCACTCACTCACTCACTATACGTCACATGTGAAGTATGTGTACTAAATGTATTGCATATATTTGATGTTTATGCGTTGTTTATTTGCGTTAATGAATGTTCTGACATTAACTCAATAAAGACACAACAAGTTTTGAAAGACAAACAAATTTGTCAATATTAATTAACCCGTAGGTTACATAAAACACTGGGAACTATTACTCAAGAAAATATTCATAGTTCGGTTACAAATATATCGAATATGATACTTTTTTCCAAAGTAGATGATAGTATCATGTGCGCAATATACATTTACGTATCATCTACGTATTATATTTTAGACTGTGGCACTAATAGGCTTCAATAACACCGAGCTTCAAACTTCACAGCGCAATATCACGAGCTCAGTTACGACATGGACGAGTATTATATCATATACATTTATGGTGGTGAAACATACGTAAGTATGGTCTGCGATTGATATTTCATATTGAAGACTATGGCCCTAATACGCTTCCATACATATCTGATATCAGGCACGTTTGAAAGCGGCGATCTTCGGATCTATAGTGAGTGACATATCTAGCAACCTGACTGACAACCGTTATTGTGTATGCTGTGTTATACCGGCGTGATCCAGTTGTACAGGAATGACGGGACTCATTGTGAACCATAACCGTTCCTACTTCTTGCATTACAAAGAACCTACTGTACAACATTCAAAGGGAAATATTAATGTTAAATTTTAAAAGTATTGTAAATCGAGACTCTCCAATCACATTGTCATTGATGTTATTTGGAAGTCCTGATATGACCATTCAACAGAATGAATACGTTTTTAAAGGTGTGCAAACTTTTATTTATCAATCAAAAAGTTTCGTGTGATCACATGAGTTGTATCCCTTCCTCTACTTAACTTTCCTATCTCTTCTCTCTATTCTTTCCTAATATGTATATTATTGAAAATGTATGTATGTAAATATTAGGGAGCGGGTATTTTAAGTTGGATTACTTGTCCCCAATCCCTTTCACATTTGTGAATAAAATATGTTTAAATCAATCAATCAAACCTAGGAATGTGTCCTATGTGAATGTCTGTTGGGTAATCGTTCTGCGTCGTTCGGTGTATCGTGGCAGTCGCTCTCCTCACATTTAAATATAGTGTACATCATTCACATCATATTCTTCAAAACATTGATACAATAAAACGATAAAGCCATGCATGAACTAATTTCAAATAATCATGTCATGTAAGTATACTTATCTTTACAATGCGTACGTTAATATATATACATGAAAAATAATTAGGCATCCCCTTATACATTTCATCATAGTGATATGATAATGATATGTCAATGGTGCCATTGTTCGTTCCGTAATTTTAGGTAATGAAAAACAATATTTCAGTTTAAAGGATTTGCGAAAACGCATCCCCATATGCATGTGAAGCATACTTCCCACTCATACCGTGAAAAGCAGTATCTCTGCCTGGCCGTACAAGGGTATAAAAGTTGTGAACATGCCATCTGTCTCATCCATTCAAGTACACATGACGATGAGAAGACTTCCATTGGGACTAAGACAGCAAAATTTAAACTGGGTTTAACGTCGTTCTTGAGAATATTTCGCTCATATGACGACTAAGACAGCAGATAGTATCAGATGACTTCAAATAAAACGCAAAGTAATTGAAAAAGAAACAAATATATTTATTTGACAAAACAAATACAAAAATATCCTAAAAGTATACTTTCAAATCTCGTTCCATTAAATGCAAACAACTAAAGATTTTCAATAATCATTAGAAATCTCCGCTTAAAGAAAAGGACAATGTACATGTACTTGGTTCGAGAACAAGTTAAAACTGAGACATTACATCATGTTGGTCAGTGATACGTCAAAACCGTTTTGTCCGCCGTTAAAGGCTGTAACCCTGATCAAACAAGTACTTCTGAGCAGAGATTCCAATTCATGTAAACAAGACCTAGAGATTAGAAAGAAAGGGAGCATAACTGTCGCCTAGAGATGTCTGACTCTTGCCGAAATGTCAATTTCATATGGATGTTATCTTTCACAAAATAAAGCATATTTGTTACATTTTAGAAAGTAGTAAACTATATCTTATATCTGAGATATGCTGTAACAATGGTATACAGAATGCAAACGTCTAACGTGTTTTCTATCTCAGCTTCCGAAAAGTCTGGCAAATCTCTGAGTTTTTGCCTACCCTCTTTTCCCATCACATTTCCCTCTAAAAGCCCATGACTCTTCAGGGGTTATAAATATCTGTAGTGAAAATAAAACCACACTGATACATTCATGATGATCGTTTGATAATTCTATTAGAATACAAGTCTCTAGTTTATTGTTTCAGTTTCAAACTGAAATATACCACCGCAGTGATAACCAGGGCATCATCACGAAGCATGTATGATCCACCTGCAAGAGAATATAAGTATCACGTCAATGTATGTGTATTAAAATGCCGTATCGATATGTTTATGAGGATGTTTTAAAGCACAAACACCATTCTTTCAAAAACTAAAGCTGACGCTTTAGATGGTAAACACGGAAGTGGATATGCGAGAATCTGATGTTTTATTGTCTTTCATGTCTTTCTTGAAAAAGGCTTAAATGAAACATTACCTTGAATAATAACCAAGAGAAACCAACACTGACTTTCTTACAAATATATTGTTGACTGTGTTTGAGTTACTTACTTGTATTTAGGTCTGGTTCTGAACACCCCTTGGAGTCATATGTGATGGGCAAACATTGAACCATGCATATATCTTGACATCCACATGGCTTGTACGTCTTCAGACAACCAATACAAGCAGTTCCACAACGGTTGTCAAAGTTGTTCACACCGAGTTGTCTCTTGCATCCTCCATCACCTCTGTCACATGTCTTGTCGGTACAGGTGTCACTACATGGTCTAGTGCAGTCAGTTCCCCAGTAGCCAGGCTTGCATCTGGAACATTCCCCAGTCTCTTGAGAACATGCCTCACAGTTACCAGGACACTTCATCTTGCAGTCGAGGGACATCCAGCCGTCCACACAGCCCTGTCTGCAGACTGTAGACTTCATATTGTGGTCATAGAAACAGTCCTGATGTCTACAGTGTCTGTTACACTGCTTGTCACAGTGATGTCCGTGAACACCGGGTTGACATCCTTGTGTGCATTTGTGCACTTGTGCACTTGTGTGGCTGCCGTACCTCTCACATGTGTCACCATGACACCCCACTGGACACCTGGTGTCACAACTGTCACCGGCCCAACCATCCCTGCATCCTCTAGCACACGA